GGAAAGCCTGGTTTTATGTGGGGAAGGTAAACGGTCCCCCCCTCAGAGTCCCTGTAAGTGGTAAGGTCTAAATTATTTATCAAGGAATACCGTGCCCATGGCTCCCTGAGACCGTTCATGGCTGGCACGAGGTCAGCCTTTCATCCTTTCAACACGGCTCTTACATCTTAGTTTGATAGGGGAAGGGTTGGCGAAGATAAGAGAGAAAGAAGGAGAAAAAGACCGTGCAAAATAAGTTCAGGCAAGGGCTGAGATCCAAGATGGGGGAGATCTCCCACATTGGATCTCAGTCTGTCTCCTAAGCCCCCCCACGACAACAACGGGGAAGGGATTGGGGGGAGAGAAACTATGAATATAATGGTGTAAAAAAAATCACAATGAACACTGATTCAGCAAGCTTTATTGGTCCATTTGATTATTTCATACATAAATAGCAACAAAGACATTAATTCGATTTTCCTTTTACAGCAAACATCCACAACCAAAGAATGCTGAAATTCTGCCCCCAAAGGAATCTTTTGATATGGCATCTAACAACACAGTGTTAATGTGGACCTTTCCCATTGTTAGTCACCTTACCTGAAGATAACTCTGGGGGCTATTAGTATAGTAATACATAAGTCATCTTGCTTAAAGTTGTTCCTCAGTGTTTCTGGTGGCCAGACACAGACAAAGTTTTGATTGTCAGACGAAAAAAAACATTTCATCAATAGGAGCCACAATTCCTGGTCAAGATTAATCATGACCCAAAGTGGATAATCACCTGGGCTCTCCACCTCCAGTGGGTGCTTTCTTCCACTCATCTCACAGCACGAATGATGGTAACTCTGCTGTTCATCAGGATTTTCCTCTAGGACAGCTACTTGGGTGTCCTTTGAGGTCAACTCCATAGGTTTACTTAGAATTAGTTTCACGGGCTGCCTTCCGCTGCCTGGGAGACTGACGTGGACTCTTCTCTGCAACACAGATTGGACACAAATGAGTAAATGTACATTGGATATACAAATATGCAAAATAAAAAATATCATTTCATCCCACGTGCAAGGAGAATGCCTTTGTATTTCATCACAACTTTCACCTGCACAAAAAACATCAAACTCACTGATCTCACTGAGGAGTTCCTTGGGTAGCCAGTCATAGTCAACACTGTTGCTCTTCTTGGTACCCATTTCAACGGTGTGCCTCTTGCCACCTCGCCTGCGACCGAATGAGGAGAGAAAGTGATGGCCAGCCACAAGCAGCAGTACAGCAAAGGCAAGCATGAAGATGTATAGGAAGAAGGTTTCTCCATCCATTCCCTCATCGACCTCAACAATGTTCACAGTCTGGTTGAACACTGGATCAACAAACACATTGCCATCCTGATTTGTAAAGAAAAAAAAGTAAAGAAACTTATTGAGTTAAAATAGTTTCAAAGGCTACAGAGCCTTTTTGCTACATTAAAAGTTTTTTGAGAAAGTACAACTGATAAAACAAGTGAGAAAAGGATGTATTCTCTTGTAATTAATCAATGTAGCAAAAAACAATATTCCATACTATATATTACTGCTTCCAACAATCACAAACTTTACATCATAATTTCAAACATCTGCTATCCAAACAACATTAATCCGATAAGGGTTATATCATCCATGGGAAAAGCCATATCAAACTCACAGCATCATGGTAAGCAAGGTTGACAGTTAAGCCAAGGGGACGACCAGCAAAGGCTTCAGCAGGGTAGAAGGAGTACATAACTGTGGCCTCCTGACGTGGTTTAACAGCACGGTTGTAGGGGATGGCGGTAAAGTTCTGGATGTAAAAGTTGAAGTCCATAGGGTAACGGAAGGAGGCATCAATGGCATCCAAGATGAAGTCTTTGTCCCCATTGTTTGTGAAGCCCACCAGGAACTCTACAAGCTTACCAGCTGGCAGGTCTGTAAAAACAAGAATATTAGCCTATTTAATGACAGCTGGAAGGGGAAGTAAAATGGGGAAGGATGGGAAGGAAGGAGAAAAATCATAAAGAAGAAAAGACAAGAAACCATGTGATGAGGAAAACATGAAAAAAAAAATCGGGAGAAACAGACAGGAGAACTGGGAAGTGAAGATCAGAAAAATACTATAATACCTCACTATATACAATAGAAATTTTGAAACCTAGAGGAGCTACAGCCCTCATTGCTGTCCACACAGCCCTCCTTCAGGTATATTGAAACCATATACTTTCACACTGACCTGAGCCAGTGCCCACAGGCTTGGTGAAGTAGATGATGGTGTCAGCATCTGGGGATCCCTTGGCAGTCATTTCTTCTTCCTCCTCTTCCTCTTCCGTTCCATCAACTTGTTCTACTTCCGATTCTGTCCCATCATCAACATTAACCTCTTCATCATCAATGATGTCATCCTCTTCTCCATCAACCTCATCCTCCTGTGCATAGGCTACACTGCGGCCTGAAAAAGAAATGGAGAATGTGTTCATTTTCCTGCAATTGTTTTCCTATAGGTTGATCTTTTGTTAAGCCCTGCATAAAATTTACTGTATTACCTTGAATTATCTCGTCCTAATGTAAGCACTTGTAATAAACCTGGTTATGCTGATAAAAGGTAGGTCCCATTCTTGCTTTAATTAATCTTAAAAACCAAAACTTTTACCCTATATCTGCAACAACTATATTACCAATGTAAAATCATCTTAGCATTCATCTAACAATCAATCCCATATGCAGTGTACTTTATGCTAAATGAATGTCGGAACAAATCATACAGCAAAAATTTAGCTGCATACATTAGATGCAAACTGAGCTGTCAATTGCATACATTAACTGTATAATAGTGACAAAATTAGGTGGATGCACACTTGACTATTTCCTCTTCTCTGAGTTCCCATTGGTACTGAGCACAGTCAATCAACCCACACTAATTCCTCCACCCTAACCCTTTGTAAAAAAAACATACATCAATACTGCCAACTTCCACAATTAGAGGGGAGGGGATAATTGCTTAGTGTTTGAGAATTCTCCCCAACAAGGATCTGAACGGACCTAACTCAATTTATTAGGATGGACAGGATGGAAAATAAGGCTCAGAATGATGTTACCAAACACAGAAAGAAAGAGATGGACACGGCAATCTCATGGAGAGTAAGTCATAAACATAGGTACAGCTGCAGTGGCATCATATGTACAGCTAACAACAAAAGCGATATTGCCTCACCAGACCTGGCTTGGAGAGATCTTGCTCTTCTTGCCCAGAAAGGAGACCCACATTCAAACAACCTGGACATTGTTAGGAATGGGGGGAGAGCAAGGGGATATCTATATTCGCTAGGCAAAGCAAGGAGTGAGCACAGTCCCATCCTATCAAGGATATCGACTGCAAACCCCCCCCCCCCTCTTTCTCTACCTCACTAATATTTGTGGGTGTGAATAATGTATCTTCTCAAATAGCACCTCTTGAGCTACCAAACATTAGGGAAAGGCTTTGGTCACAGAACTTCGAGGGTGATGGGGTGTAAAACTATCAATTAAGTATCAATTCCCTCGTTTTCCTTTTATTTCATTTAGGTGCTTCCTACGAATCACAAAGCAAGGTTTGGTTGGCAATAGCTTGATGCTTAAGAAGAAGAGTCGTCGGTACGGTCACGAAATTCGTTATCCGATCCTGCTTACTTTAGTTTTTAGCTAGGTCAATAATTTTTTTTACACAAAGTGTATGGGTATGTGATGCTTGTATACAAGAAATTTGATTAAAAAAGCTAGATAAATTTTTGCGCAAAAAAAAAAAAAAAAAAAAAAAAAAAAAAAACAGCAAGATGATAGAATTAAAAAATTATGTGATGGTTTCCTTATAGTGAATAGTACTGCAGTTTCCTTCTGACCAGAGTTAGTCAACAAATAGGAGTACCAAATGTAGCATTTATGTAAATCTATCTGAAACGACAATGTTTCAGTTACCTTGCAAAAAAGCGCCTTTTTTTTTTTGTCTGAAAATCTCCATTATTTTTTTCAGTAAAAAATGTATTTGGTGGAAATAATGCATGACTTTGCTACAGTTAGTAGATACGAACTGGACGATCATTTTGCAACAAGAATTATGAAAATCACGTAATTACATACAAAGTTAACCTTACTATCATGCGTGAAAATTTGATTGAGAAAATGGCAGTTTTTGTCATTCATTGTCATTACATCATAAAGGTCATACCAATGATTACCAAATGTGAATATCTACTTAGACAATTCCTTGGCCTTTAATATGAGTCCTGTGGTAGAGGGTCAGGCCTTGTTCAAGTAATTTTAGGTCATCTTTATGTCTAGGTCTAGGTCTAGGTCTAGGTCTAGGTCTAGGTCTAGGTCTAGGTCTAGGTCAGGTTAGGTTAGGTTAGGGAGTGTTCTCTGAAAAGTATACTTTCAGATGTCAAGGCTCCTAGTCCCTCCGTCATTTACATATAGTACATTATAAATCGTATATTATGCATTTCTAATATATAAATGACATTGTTAGGTTTTCAACAGGTTGAAAACAAATCGTATACTCCCAAAAACTTTATCAATCGCACTGTTCTCCCATCCTTGCTGCAGCTGCCTGACTGCTGAACGCAGCCTAAACTATCATACAGCAGTATCATACCAAAGAAATTCGCAAAAAAGCCGAAAAAACACTGAAAATACAAGAAAAACAAAGCATGAAGCAAAAACAGGTGTGGCAGCACGAGGGCATTTAAATACCCCAGACCTTTAAACCACGGAAAGGAGCGCGTTACGAATCTGGCAACCGGCGCCCTGGGTGCGTCACATGGTCATGTATCCACACACAAAGTTTGAAAAAATCGTAATTTGTGAACCGTACTGACGACTCTTCCCCTTAACGCCTCTCGCATTCATATACTTATAGAAAGTAAGTAAATTTATCATTTCAGTTTAAAGTTTGAGATACAAATTGAAAGTGCATCATCAGTCAACCTAATTTATATTGTTTCTGAAACTGTTGTTGAAATAAATGATATAAAATGAAATGCACTTAATTTTGTGCAGCAGTGCATAAATATAATGGTGGGGTATATAGGATGTAGGTGCTGCGAACTTAAAACAATTAACATATAATTTAATGTCAAATTATTAGGTGACACTCTTTAGACCTTGGCAGATTGGGCACTTCCCAGCGAAGCCCTTACCTGGCTCACGCTTACTCACTCACCCTGCAAAGGGCCGAGTCTAGCTTTACTCTACCCAAGGCTAAGGGAATGTTCCCTCAGCTTTGACTACCTATTCTTACGCCTTTATTTGTCGTTTCAGCAGCTGGTGTCCAACACTGTCGGTGTTCCTCCTCCAAACTATTCAATAAAAGTTCATTACTTTCGATATCTCCTGTTCAATACGTCTTTCACATTCATTTTGTTATTTATGGAAATGAAAATTTTTCAAATATTTAGAAAATATAATTGGGCGTGAAATATTGTCATGAGTTATTCTATTTTCCAAATAACATATCAAAAGTTTATCATCTACATAGCAGATCAAGGTGATACAAGATGGAGGAGAGAGAGAGAGAGAGCAGCTGCTTAGGATAATTCAGAGCCACATAATATACACCTCTGGTATAATGCAAACAAAGGATATTTCCGTCTGCCCATTATTGATAAAAATAGTCGGTTCCAACAATGTTTAATTTTTTTTTAATACGGAAAATATGATAAGGAATGAAATTAAAACGATGTGATAAGATTTCATGATAATTTGAAATACAAGATAACTCAATTCTTAAGGCAGGTCTCCAATATATAATCAAATTAAAAACTAAACAGGAATAACAGCAATCCTGTGCTCTCTCCATATATGGTAGAAACACCCACAATCCACAAATTAGATTGACTGAAGAATCTAAGAGAACAGTCAGAATCGTTCACGATAACATCTTCAGACCCAAAGATGAAATTGAGGACGATTCTGAAACTATTGTTTCACTTTCTTTCAATACATCTAGTTTGTGCATTGTGGGTTTTTCTACCATACTATCAATACAGCAGCGTTTTTCCACTCTATAAGATGGCGGTGTCCATTTTCCTCTATCTACGCACGTCGCAGTCTTCAACCTCTACCATATTAACTGTATCTCACCACTCATAGACAAAGTTGCTCATCTTATTTACATTGTGAAGGCAAATAGTGTAGGAAATAGAAGGTAGAAAAGGTTAGGTTTGGGTTTTTAGGTTTGCATGATACCCTAGTTTTGGTGCTGTCTCTAGATGGTGCATCACTCTCGGCAACAAATACTCCATAAATATATTGTTTATGGTAGAGGTTACGGAGACAGACACGCGTAGATAGAGAGAAATGGACACCGTCATGTTATAGAGCGGAAAAAATAGAGTGGGATGGAACATAGTATAAGTTGCGCCAGACTTGTATTTACCGTTAAATGGAAAAAAACGGCGGCGCTATACGCCGCGCAGAGACAAATTCGAAATCAACCTTCTGCGGCAGAGTCATTTGTTTATGTCTGCATTTTCTATAAACTCATTTTATACGTGTCTAGTTTTCTGTATTTCCATTTTCTATACCCACGTTTCCCCTAATTGTCATGTTTTCTTTGCACTACTTTCAACCGACATGGAAACATTACCGTTTACTAATATTTTAATCCATTATTTAATCCTATTTCTACTAACATTTCGTCTTTCTTTTATGCTTATACATTTTAAGTAGGTAATTGTTGAAGACCGTGACGCACCCTCGCATAGACTAAATCGAAAAAAAATGATGTTTTTCTGCATGAAATCCTATGATTTCATCGATTTTCGGCGTTGTTTCTTTTGCGAATGAA